GGGTTTTAATTGGTTTTGAAAAGTTTGGGGGGGGGAAAAAAAAAAAAAAAAATTTATAAGGAGTTTTTTAGGGATAGTTTTTTGAAAGAAAGGGTGGGTTGAAAGAGGGTGGTTAAGGGAAAAAATTTTTTTTGGAAGGATTGGGTTGTGTTGAAGGGGGGGGTAGATTTTTGGGTTGGGGGGACAAGAGGAAATTTTGGGGAAAGGGTGGAAAAAGTTATTTTGAAAGGGAAAGGGGGGGGGGGGGGGGGGGGGGGGCGTACTCATTTGTTGCTTGCCGTAGTCATTTGACCATTGACCACGCGTCCCTTTCGAGACGGAGCACCGTTCCTACACCTACTAGAGACACCACCAACATTTGGGAGCTCTTTACGTTTCTGCCACAAACTCCATAAAAATTTCTTGCACATCTTATCCCCGTCCTCTAGGGCCTCTTGTGCCCACCATCTATCCCCAATTATCGCGATCGTTTTTTCGCTGTTGTCTAATTTACCAAACTTGTCCATGTCACACCCTCTCTGTCTCATTTCCTCCTCGAGATCCTCTCTTTCCTTCCTGTACAACTCACACTCCCCAACTATGTGGGGTCTACTCTCCTCCGATTTGCCACATGGACATGTGTGTCTATCCTCCTCTTCCTCTCTCCTACGGCTGGTATACCTCTTCCTCCGTTCTGGCAAGTCCAGATCGCCTACTCGAAATTGCAATTTCAGCTTTTTCGCATAGTCCATGGGGCCGTCCAAGTACTTCTTCATCCCTATCCCTTCTTTCAACTTCCCGTATATCTCCAAGTGGTCTTCGCTTCGTACCTTCTTGCGAAGGGTTGTCTCCTCCCTACTCTCTAGCATCTCCTTGACTTTCGTCTTGAACCCCCCGAACCCCTTCCGTGTCCAACGTCTCCCTCCTCGTCTCCTATCTCCTTCCAAACCTTCTCTACCACCTTGTCCCATCTGATTCCCTTCTTCCCTGGAGTCGCTTTTCCCCAAGCTGCCTCGTCAACCATGGCTGGTAGTCTATCGTCCGACATTCTACTTACCTTGTACTGCCACTTCAACTTCTGCATGTCTCTCTTTGTTTTAAGAGAGTACATTCCCAATTCTGCTCTCAATACAGTGTTGCTCGTTGTGCTTGAACATCCTAGTATTTTCTTGGCCGCTGCCATCTGCACCGTTTCCAGCTGCTTGACGGGGGGGGGGGGGGGGCAAAAAAAAACGTCAAAAAAGGTTAAAGGGAAAAAGGTATGGGTTGCAAGAAAAAAATTGGAAAAAAAACAAACCCCCAACCCCCAAAATCTGGGGAAAACACTGCCTTCCAAAAACAACCCAACATCTGGCACCGGGGGGAAAAATTGGAAAAAAAAAAAACCTGGGAAGGGCAAAGGGGAAAAAAACCCGGGGACCGAAAAAAAAAAAAAAAAAAAAACCCCCGGGACCAATTTTTAAAACCCAAAAACCCCCCAAAAAAAAGGGGGCAAAAAAAAAAACAATGCTTTTTCGAAAAGCTTTCAAAAAAGCCCCTTCAACCCCCCCTTTTTCGGGCCTTGAACCCTTTCTGCTGTTAAAAAATCAA